GACATTGGGGACATCTGTGGGGACATTGGGGACATCCAAAGGGACACTGGGGACATCCAAAGGGACATTGGGGACATCTGTGGGGACATTGGGGACATCCAGAGGGACACTGAGGACATCCACGGGGACATTGGGGACATCCAAAGGGACATTGGGGACATCTGTGGGGACATTGGGGACATCCAGAGGGACATTGGGGACATCTGTGGGGACATTGGGGACATCCAAAGGGACATTGGGGACATCCTAAGGGATATTGGGGACATCCAAAGGGACATTGGGGACATCCAGAGGGACATTGGGGACATCCAGAGGGACATTGGGGACATCCGCGGTGACATTGGGGACATCTGTGGGGACATTGGGGACATCCAAAGGGACACTGGGGACATCCTAAGGGATATTGGGGACATCCACAGGGACACTGGGGACATCTGCAGGAACAGGGACACTGGGGACAGGGACACTGGGGACAGGGCACATTGGGATTGACAGGACATTGATGGGGACAGGGGACATTGGGGACACCTGTGGGGACACCTGAAGGTGACCATCCCCAAGGACACCAGGAGTGACCATGGACACTGGGAGTGACCAAGGACACCAGGAGTGACCATGGACACTGGGAGTGACCATCCCCAAGGACACCAGGAGTGACCATGGACCCCAGGAGTGACCATGGACACTGGGAGTGACCATCCCCAAGGACACCAGGAGTGACCATGGACCCCAGGAGTGACCAAGGACACCAGGAGTGACCATGGACACCAGGAATGACCATCCCCATGGACCCCAGGAGTGACCATGGACCCCAGGAGTGACCATGGACACCAGGAATGACCATCCCCAAGGACACCAGGAGTGACCACGGACCCCAGGAGTGACCATGGACACTGGGAGTGACCATGGACACCAGGAGTGACCATGGACACCAGGAATGACCATCCCCAAGGACACCAGGAGTGACCATGGACACCAGGAATGACCATCCCCAAGGACACCAGGAGTGACCACGGACACCAGGAGTGACCATGGACCCCAGGAGTGACCATGGACCCCAAGAGTGACCAAGGACACCAGGAGTGACCATGGACCCCAGGAGTGACCATGGACACCAGGAGTGACCATGGACCCCAGGAGTGACCAAGGACACCAGGAGTGACCATGGACCCCAGGAGTGACCATGGACATCAGGAGTGACCATCCCCGCTGTCCCCACCCTGTTCAGGGTTCAGTTCCCGTTTCCCGTCCCGGGCGGTGGCTGCTGGGACAATGACCCGTGGTGGTGGCCAGGGGGTGGTGACAGTGGCCAGGGGGAGGTGACACCGATCAGAGGGGGGGTGGTGACACCGTACCTTGATGGTGGCAGTGGCCATCATGCCCTCGGCCGGGCTCAGGGCCACGCGGGTCTGGAACAGGACCTGGCGCTTCTGGGGGAAGTCCTGGACCATCAGCGTGGCCTCGGTGGCCGTGG